CAGGGGGCCCTCGGGGCCCCCCACCAGCACTGCAGGCCCTCACCCTGGCGCAGACAGGGGGGCAGCCCGCTGGCAGGGCCACCGGAAGTGCTCACCTGTTGTACATGTTGAGGAAGAGCTGGAGGTTGAACTGGTTCACCACACTGCCGATCTGCTGCCGGTAACTCTGCACCAGCTCCGTGTTGTTCACCAGCTCTTCCTGTGCCAGCAGGGGACAAAGATCAGGACAGGTGCTGCTGGATGCCGTGGAGATATCCTGCTCCCTCAGGCCTGCCCATGCTGTGCCAGCCAGTGGGGCAGTGGGGGAGGATGTCGGCCAATGCAGCTGGGCACAGCAGTGCTGCAGGCAGCACTCCCAGGCAGGACGTGGGCACGAATCACACACTCATCAAGGCTAAGCCCCGGATCAGGCAGGAGGGATACAGGCAGGACTTGACTAACCCCATCCCCAGGCATGGGGCAGGTCCAGTGGCACTGCAGCACCAGGCAGGCAGGGCAGGGCACAGCCTGGGTGACCCAGCTGGGATGCTGGTTAGGGGGCCAGTGAGGGGGGGGACAGGATGCACAGCCCTTACCTGGCTGAACAGGTGGGACAGGACAGTGTCTGGCAGTGTGCTGGTGAGGCCAGAGAGCTGTGGAGGGACCACAGGGAGTTACGGAGCTGCTGTGGCTGGCTCCTGCCCCAGGGAGCCACGAGGGCCAGGGCGGGGAGGGGGTTAGGGCCCTGCCTACCTTGGCAGCTGCCCAGTCAATCCAGCCTTTGCCATTGGGGTCGATGTTCATGAGAACCAGTCCTTCAACCAGGTCACTGAAGATGAGCTGCAGTGAGCAAGAGGGGTGATGCTCAGCAGAAAAGGGAGATGCACTCAGGGCAGCCCCCCACCAGCACCGCTGCCCACTGCACAGGCATTGCATGGGGCTGACATGGCCCTGCCCTGGGAGCGATGGGAAACCTGTGGCAAGACTGCCCGGCCACCATGGCCATGGCACTGCCATCCTGCTCCCCCTGTCCCTCCAGGAGCCTTTGCAGCTGCACAGCCTGCCCGGGGGTGTCATCTCCTGCTCTCCCCCACACCCCAGGCTGACAGCAGGTACAGGCAACTCAGGGCCAGCCCATCCCAGCCCCAGGCTCACCGCAAACTTGGCCAGCACGTAGGCTCCTGCCCCAACACCGATCCCGATCACATACTTGAACCTGGAAAGTGGAGAGGTGCGTATGGGGGGACAGTGGCCTCCAGCACGGGTTCCCTGGGCCACCACTCCACCCGCAGCATGGGGCACAAGAAGACATGCAGGGTGTCAGTTTACAGGGACAACTCCTCCAGCCCCAAATCCTTGCCTCCTGCCAATCTCCTTGCCCAGCACCCTCAGCCGGCAGCTGTGGAGGAGAGGCTGACTCACCCGAAATGCTGCACCACGCTGGGTAACATGGCAGCCAGCTGGTCCATGGATGGGTACTGGTACCTGTGGCACAGGGAGGCACAGGACAGCGGTTATGGGACCCGCGCAGAGTGGGAAGGCTGGGACAGGGCAGCTAGGCTGCCCAAAGTGGGCAGGGAAACACCATACACCCACAAACCACCCCATTGCCCACCCTGGGCCAGTTGGCTGCCATGGGCTTTGTCACGGTTCAGAGAGACCCGCAGGCAGGGCACGACTGCCCAGGCAGCGTCAACCCAGCGGCCAGGGAGGTGACATCCCAGCGGGCATAGTGAGCCCCCAAAGCTGGCACCTACCCCTGAGGGAACTGCGAGGCTCCTGCCTGCTGGCCCGGCGCATCCACATGGCACACCACAAAATGCTTCGTGATCTCCTGCATGTCCTCATAGTTGAAGAAGGTGTTGAAGCAAAGCTTGTCTGTCAAAGGGCAGGCAGGGATCAGAGACCAAACACCCCCAGCACGGGGGCCAGGTGGGCCAGGGGAGCATGGAGAGAGGTCATCTGCCCTTCCACTGCCCTTTAACCAGGAGGCGACATGCCACCAAAGCCCTCCCATCCCCTTCCCTCCAGGCTCCTCATCCCTGCAGCAGAGACCACATCCAGTGTTAGCAAGGGCTGCATCCCTACTGGTGTTGGGAGGCATGGAGATGGATGGACACAACAAGGAGCATGAGAAGTTTGGGGTGAGTCTCGTCTGCTTGGAGGGATGGGACCAGGGGATGCAAAGCCCACAGCTGCAGGACCACCCGGCAGGCAGCAGGATTAGCAGCCCGGGGTATTATTGGCCCTATTCAAAATCCCCAGAAAGGGCTCAAGCAAACATGGGATTTGAGAAACAGCCGCAAATCTCCCTGCTTGGAAAAAGTCAAAGAAACAGCCCCAGTGCTGCTGTGGACAGGCCACCACTGTTGCAGCAGCATACAGGCATTGCCAGGGCTTGGAGGGGTCCTGCCCCATGGCATCAGTGCTGGGACATCCCTCCCAAAACGTCGGGGCAAGGCAGGTTGTAAGGTCCATCGCAACCAACATGACGCATCCCTGGACACAAGAGTGCTGCTGTGATGGTGAGGCAGCTCATGTAGCATGCCGGTGACAGCCTCAGCTGCCAGCAGAGGGGGAGATGCTTCTCCCCACTCACAGGGCACCAGGCATCCCGGCTCAGCTTGGGGGGCACAGCCCAGGGCAGGGGTCTGGGATGTGGGTGCAAGGCTGCAGGTTTACAGAGAGAGCAGCATCCCCACATCCAGAGCCCTAGCTTGGTGTCCCTCCTTTCCCTCCTGTCAGAATCCCTCCTTCCCTGCTATTCCCCATCTCCTTCAGCCCCCACTATGCCCTGCCGCCAGCCAGGTCTGTGCTCTGAATACCAACAGGCCGGCGGCAGCAGCAGGGACTGACCCAGTATCCCCCACGTCCCATCCCTGCCTGGCATGGGCAGGCAGACAGCCAGCACCAGGGTGGCCAAGCACTCCTGGCTGTGCCTGGCCCGGGCTTTGGGTCTGGCTGAGCATCCAAACCCTCCTGGTGCTTTCAGATGCCTGGGGAGACCCAATGCAGCCTGGGGATCCTCCATGGAAGGAAGCAAAGGAGCTGAGCCCTGGCTTTGACCAATGTCCTGGCACCCTGTGCAGCCCCAGCCTCGCTCCCGCCTGCCCCTGTGCCCCATGGCCCAGGGACCAGCACTCACGGTTGAGGCCCACATCATGGTACGTCAGGATGGCCGGGCGATTCCCCTTGGGTGAGCCCCGGATGACCACGTGCAGCAGCCCATAGGGAGTCTCAATGTCATGTTCCTGGGGGAACAGGAGAGATGGGGTGATGCCTGCCTGCCCCAAGACATCCTCTCCTGCCCCACCACCCCACCCCTCACTGCTGCTTCCCCAGGTGGCTGGGTCCCATGGGAGCACAAGGGAA